CTGTTTTCGCGACTTGGTTTTGAGAAAAGCTACACAGAATAAACTAGTGTTCCCTTGTATAACATTACCTACATAGAAAAAATAATGTTCCCTTGAATATTATTACCCTCAACGGGTGGCCTTCAGCCACCTCTATGTGACTGTAGTTGACGCATAATTGCTGATGAAGCAAAGTATAATCAATCATTGTGATGTTTGAAATCACACTTTGTCATGAAGTGAGTCAGAGTTGTGTGAGCACTACTAAAAAAGATGGTAAAATATACTGCTTCATTAGTAAGATATTACGATTCTGCATTTTTGTTCGATTTCGCTCAAACAAGGCCATGAAGGGCATAAGTCTTAAATATAAGCGACAAGAGTACTTATAGAAAAAAGAGAGAAATGTGGAAGTCTTGAATTTCTGAAAGTCTTTCAAGCTACGAAAATTGCTATGTATCATACAAAAAAAATTATTTATTTATCCTGCTACACATATAAGTTTAGAAGTCGTGATATCATGCTTGAAAAACTGAACATTTTATACTTATAGGTTTAATTGCATTTAAATATCTTGTAGGTGTATCAAAGCTATTAGACCAAGGTATGAATTTGGTCTTTGCTATTTGTAATCCATAGACGTAACTGTACATATCCGAGACTAAGGTTTGAACTTCGTGAAATAATCGTCAATACAGACATTCGTTGTTGGGCCTATATACAGGGTTATGAAAAATTTCTTTGTCTTTGTTTATTAATAGTTTAATATTGTAATTGTAGTTCTTTTTTTCGTTTTTCATGCAATAATTTTTTTTTCAAATCACAATTTTTTTACTATAAAACTGGACGAATTTTTTGTACACCCTGTACTGTTGACGATTCGCGAACATTGTTACATATGACTAGAAAATTTCAGTTATTTTCTGAATTTGTAAAAAGGAGAGGAAACTCATCAAATAGGGAAATTTGGTTTAGTCGTTCACAAAGGATAGGAAGTTGCGTATGCATCAGTGCGAAACAGGCAGACGAAGCACATTCGTTAAGCACAGTTAAACAGAGGGACACCCTGTGTTTTTGAGCGGTATCTCTTTGCATTTGTTTAAAATTGTTACACGATTAATTGTAGGTACTCCCGTAGTATATGTACCAGGTTCGAGTTGGGCCTTAATTTTGTTCCGATTTTTCTTATATTAGTTCTATTACGAGTTCGGGGACTAACTGCGTTAGCCAAATGGATATGCCCTCTGCCCATAGGTTTCAGTACCTTCACACAACTTGATGTAAAGTAGGTAAACACACTTCCGGGGCGCCTATTTTACGTGATTGCTTAGAAGAAAGCACTAGAAAAGGATTCATTGATATATAAAAGGCTATTATGTTTTTGTTGTGATGTTATAGGCATGATATTTTTATCCGAGATTTTAACCTGCTCAACAATATAGCCTAATCCAATGCGATTAACGATAAAATCGCAGTTTTTTCGCTGATTTTTTAAAAGTAGAAAAAAATAGAGAAATACATAAAAGATTCACAAAGACCGCAACGAGAGGAGGTAGACTATTCATATAAGTGGGCGACAGTTAAACAAAAAGGCGTCGTATTTTTGTGTATTATGTCTTTGTAGCTTTCAATTTTCCAAATCCTATAGGTTATTCAGGCGATTGCCCCGAACAAAGCTGCTACTGCTACTATTTGTTCGCAGGGCGTAGCCAGCAGGAATTTACAGAAGGCTTCTAAACTAGTCAAGTTAGACCGTATATCAGCTAGAGGGTTCGAAAGAAGTGGGTTTTCAAGAGTATTTCATAGTTTTAATTGCACATAACACTTCAGTGGTCGACCTGAAATTTGGGGGTCATTCCGAAGTATGTGAACCAAGATGGTGGACACTGGAACGTAGTATGTGTACCAGGTTAGGGTTAGGCCATAATTTTAGTCTAATTTTCCTTATTTTACTTCTATTACGAGTTCGGGGACTAGCCAAGTGACTCCCATAGTATTTCTACCTGAAATCATGTCCTAACCCTAACCTGGTACACATACTACGTTCCGGTGTCCGCCATCTTGGTTCACATACTTTGGGAGTACCAATTTAATACCATGATATTTAATTTGTGAGGGACCTTTCTTGAAGCAAATAGCTGTATTCTTCGTTAGTATTATTATTATGTGTTGCGTAACAAATTTGCGCTAGGCAAGATTTAAAGAGGATATGCAGTTTGACAAGTCTGAACTTGTATTGACTCTTCCTTTCGCATCCTTTCATAGTTAGTGAGGTTATGAGCGTTGCATGAAGTTAGACAGTTACGAGAATATGAATTTGCTGCAGTTTGGGAGACGCAAATCTTGAAGACAAACATAAATAATATAATAATGAGGCCGTGGGTATATTTTAGACAGCATCAGAACAGTAAGAAAGCGGATATGCTGGTATTCTGGCTTGATACACCTTCGTGAATTACCCAATTTGTTACAACCAATATTGAGATAGGTTTCAAAATTGATTATTTTCACGTTTTTTGAACGACTGCAAAGACAGGATATACAATATAGTAGACCAAAGTTCATTTTCGAAATTACGGGAATATTTTTGAATCACCTGACGAATCATCGTGTAATTAAGAAATTAAGGAGCCATTGGTTTTGAAATTTAGCGTCGAAGACAAGTTTTACAGGGTGTTCATAAAGTTCCTTCGCAATTTAAATTTTATTATGAAGTCAATTCCTAATATATTTTAACTAGGTTTGTTGATTTTGATCAGTTTATGTATTTTTTCTTCATTTACATCTGTGAGGGCTAAAACAATATATAGTATCGATAAATTTTCTTTGCAATTTAATTTTTTTAAAGACGTCATGGACACTCTATATACACTGTTAGACCAGAGTTCATTTTCTATATTACGAAAATATTTTTTGAATCTTCAGACGCCTGATAATAATAAGACCATGTATGCAGTGTCAGAGTTACTAGTGAATCACGGTTCATCGGTGGCCCATTCGTTGCTAAGTATCAATTACTGTCTGCAGAAACCTATGGTTGAACTGTCATGGGAAAATTGAAGTCCTAAATAAAAAAATTCACGCTTGTGAATAGCACGCTCAAATGGAAATTATATGCTTTTATCGGTACTCCCGTTGTGTGTGTACCAGGTTTGGGTTAGGCCATAATTTTATTCCGATTTTCCTTATTTTATTTCGGGGACGAGTTCGGGTACTGTCTGTGTTAGCAAAGTGAATATACCCCCTAAATTAGACAAAATTGGTTACCTTCATATTGCTATACACACTTCTGGAGCGCACTTTTGTGTATATGCGTTTCTAGGTCGCTATTTGATGGCTGTTGTAATATTTGACAGTACATAGTCCATAAATTATAAGATGTTTGTTGCTAGTTTTATATATTCGAGGATAAATTTTATTAGGTTGGCGAACGATACGAAAAGGTTGAGGATCCTTGCTGAATAATTTTAGTGTTTACGCGGGAAATATATACTTATCGCTGTATATAATCTTTTCGATCCAGCATTGCGCACCCAATTTATTACACCGATGGTGAGGGGGTGGGTATTAGATTTAACCCATAAACTTTTAACTCGCGATGCAAAGGTTTGCTAGTACACCCTCCCACCCATAATTTACGGTGACCGTACATTTGAACCCATGTACATTTGAACCCATGCGTATATCCACGGGTTCAATCTATATGCGGGTGCTAAAACCCATGGGTTAGGGTTAGTATGGGTTTAAGTATGCACCTGTGCAATAGCTTACAGGTGCAATTGTCATGGGTTCAAATGTACGTGGGTTCAAATGTAAAGGAACCATAATTTACACGTTTTCATTCATATTATACTGCTTTTTTACGACTGACAACTTTCGATTAATCCTAGATAATGAAGTATAATAGAGACAAATAAGTCTGAAATTGCATTGTGTATTTGATTTATTTCTGGAAGGAATTATATTGACTAGAAAAATGAAGAAAAGTGCGATAAGACAGATGCGTGATAGGTAACGTATTTATGTGGATTGTGTGGGTCACGGATGCTTTACGAGGAAGTATGTATTTGGCGACTCTGATAACAAGGTTGCCTTCGTTATTTATTGGCGCGTACAATTCCTGTGCCATGTGGTACACTATGGATAAAGCCCGCTGTTTTTATGACAGACTAGTTGTCATATACGGAGGAAGATGTTTTAATGGCCAACGTAATATAATTACGCATTATTTTTAACGGTCTATTTGGCAGTCGAATACGCCTTTGATTATGGCAATTGGAACTATATACCCGTCCCCATCTCTAACCTGCTGGCTATATGGCAGTTCAATATCCTACAATGAAAGAGTTCATTCGAATGGCGATTGGGGCCATATATCCATCCTTTTCCCAGCCTACTGTCTATATGGAAGCCCAATAACCCTCTATGGAAGAAGCCTTCAAACGGTGATTGGGACCATATATACATCCCTGTTTCTAAGTTACATGAGACATCTCAATAGCCAATACTCTTTACAGAGTAGCCATTCAAATGTCGATTGGGACCAATATATACATTTTGAGATATCTATTAGTAGCTTTCTTTTATATGGAATGAGCGTCAGAAATCAGTGGTGCCATATGATGAAGAAGTTATATCGGCATTTTCTGTGTTAAAAGTGTTGAGTAAGTTTAGAATAAAATAGCCGACAATACGTTCGGTTACGCCCCTCAAGTCCCTCGGCTATGCTTGTGCCCCCATTTAACGGTCCTTCCTGATGTGCCTGCATGTTTACCTTGCCATATGATGAAGACGGTATATTGGCTTTTCCGGGATAAATAGGAAGTCGTATAACAATTTTAGAATAAAATAGTCGGCAATACGCTTGTCAGTCATTCATATTTGAATAGGAAAAGCTCACGGGAATTACGTGCATTCGGCACTCTTCTATTACTGCGAAATAATAAAAACCAGCGGGGCAATAAGGTACCCGGTATTTTCCATAACACAATTCATCTCAATTATACTCATTACTATTTCAGAACAATGCGCAAAACTTTGCGCGCGATGCACATCAACGAAGCTGATCACCATGACAGCGACGGATACGGTTCAGCGCCTCCGACCAATGAACAACGACTACGTATGTTCGTTTTGAAAGAAATATTAGACACAGAGACGGAATACTTAAAACTGTTGGAATTTATGGTGGAGGTAATTATATATACAATACTATACCAATACCAACCTATTTTTGCTTTAATATGCATAGCATTTAAATGTTTTCAAAAATATAGGGTGTCCATAAAATCCTACCATTTTTTAAAATTGCAAAGGGAATTTATCTATATTGTTTTAGCCCTCACATAGGTATTAAATGAAGTAAAAATATTTGAACAATTACTGATTGAAATACAACAAATCTGGTTAAGATATAATGAGAACTAACTTCATTACAAAATTGAAATTGTAAAGGGTCTTTATGGACACCCTGTATATCATATATATTGATATTAGGATTGCGTTTCAATAAAGCGTGCTGTAAAACATCTTAATGGCGTCATTTATTCAACTATGAGGTACGTCGAGTCAAAAACTGACGTCCCAGAATGTGACGTAATAATAATATTATGACGTAATAATATAATCTTTTAGCAGCAGACGCGGCATATTATATCTTTCAGCAGCATTTTTGGGACTAAATCATTTTTCCGTACTTCATTGATATTGTCCCATCATTACTTTTCTTTTCTCTTTGTTCCTGTTTATCTCAGATTAGGTTCGAATAAATTAGCTCAGGTTATTTGCATCACTTTTTAACTTATCCTACCTATTCTAATACATAAGAAAAAAAACTGATGAGACTATTGGTGCTGGGCCAGTATGATCCCCCAGCTTTTCATTTAGGGGATGTTTTCCCCAAAATTAGAGGATGATAGATATTTTGCTTTTAGAAAAAATGTGTTATTCATTCAACTGATCATCTGCACTTTTCATATCCACTTTCTGAAATCTGGATATTCAAATACAATTAAGAAGAAAAACGTCTTGAAGGTTTAAAAAGCGTTTCAAGTTACCACCGACTACATCTCTGAGAAAATCAAGTTTTGATAACAAAAACATTTGCGTGGCAATCTTTCTTAAATAACATACTATCAAAAACATTCAGTAAAATTTAATGCTTTTTGAGTTTCTGAAAAATATTATTTTCCTCGATTTACACCATTTTAACTAGGAAATACCCTGGTTTGAATTAATTCGTTGTTCGGCACCATATTTAAACAATTCAATTTCTAAAGGTCATGACCCCTAGTATCCAGAAGATGGGAGAAGATCAAACTCGTGCTCACTCATGCAAAAAGGAAACTACGTCACAAATTCTCTCGAATGTGTCAGAAATCCATTTGCTTCACTTTGACTTTCATAAAGCATTAGAAGAAGCACTCTCTCCTATTCCGTATCATACTCATCGCATCGGAAAAGTATTTCTAGAATTCGTGAGTAGATATTTTTTGATTCGTTTTGAAGGAGTATTTTGATGTATTTCATTTCAGATTAGGTTTTAATGAAATGAAGTTTCGCGGCAATCGGCACTTGGAGGCGTATAATGCATCGTCTCCTGTAAATTTACCAATGGAAGAGTCTCTATCATTTCTGAGCGGGTACACGAGGCCTTGCTTTGGGGAAATTCTCTTGAAATAAATTCAGGGGTGGCCAACACTGCGATCGCGATCGACTAGTCGATCGCCACGTCTCGAATAGTCAATGGCGTCTGATGTGAAGTGAGTTTAATAACATACCCCCAAGAATTGCTGCGAACCAGTTTCATATAGCGATGTTTTGTGCTTCAAAACAGAACGAATACAGTGCTGTACATGCGCAAAAAATACAATATACACATACAGTATTTAAGTCTGGGCGGAATTTTTTGTATGCGTGTTCGAAGTTATCTGCATATTCATTACTCATTCGTTTTTGTGTATGACCTTATCACCGATCAGTCGATAAAAGGTTAGTGGAATCGAAAGTCACTGATCGTCATTTAGATCGAAAGCAGGTTGGCCACTCCTGATCTATATGCACTGCGGGAATGTCATTGGATACCGTGTGGTGTGTGACTTGTTTTTCGCACTTGTTTTTTCAACGAATGCGATAGTTATCATAGCTATTTGCCTTGAGGTTTTTTAATTTATCGTTATACGCAATAGCGAAGTCCGTGTCTGATTCCTCTTATTACGGCTACGTCAATAAAATAAAAAAATTCTTGTTTAATTTTCAGAAAGACAAGTTCAGTGTTTACATATCTTCAAAACGTCGTCCTTTTTCCAATGGGCGAACCCCTCATTTGCCACGCCCTAAAACCACCCTTGCCGATTGACATAGCTTCAAAGTATCGTCCTCTTCCCACTGGTCGAATACTTCACGGGCCACGCCCTAAAACCGCCCACACCGATTGAAATAATTTTTGTTTATTTTTCAGAAAGACAAGTTCAGTGTTTACGATGAATACTGCTCCAACTTCACAAGAGCTCAAAAAGTTTGTTACGAACTTGAGAAAGATCCGGATTTCCAAGAGTTAATAACGGTGGGAGAACTTTTTTCGTATTTTAATACAAGAGAGCTATGCTCAAATATATGGACACGTAGAGCATTTTCACAATTTTTGAAAATTATAACAGTCCACCGTTCGGCATAAAAAACTTCCCACTTTTGCTAAGCAAGTAGTAGATCCACCGGCAAACGCCGAGCGCGAAATCAACTGATGTGCTTACGCAGAACGTGACGTCATAGCAAACAAAAACGAATCCCACAGAGCTAACAGAAATATTTGAAATAAATAAAAAAAAATAGCCTTCTAGAAAAAAATTCCATCTTTAACCACTGAAAATTAAAAAAAAAATTTGTCCAGTAATCGAAGAGAAAAGCTACTTTTTAAGTTGTTCACCAACGTGTCCAAGAATTTGAGGGTTTTCTTTGGTATTGTTTATTAATAATTTTATTGTGCTTGTATTTCTCATGTATCATACAATAAAATTTATTTCAACTTTCAGTTATTATTACTTTAGAATCGGGCAACATTTTTGGACACCGTGTATATGACTATAACATAGATTTTTGAAAATGCTCATAAATATCTCACATATATTAATATCACATCAATTTCGCACATGCACCTAAATATGCCATATATATGTGTATCACATAGAATTTCGCTAATAAAAATAAATATGTCACATGTATGAATATCGCATATATTTTTGCACATGCACATAAATAGGTCACATATATGGGTATCACATAGGATTTAGCACATGCATCGAAATAATATTTTTATAAAACATTTCAGGAATGGAAAACCAGCGTTGAAAGTCAGAGTCGAAAATTTCTACACTTGGAAGGGTTTATTATTTCACCTGTTCAACGCATATGCAAATATCCACTGTTTCTCAAAGAACTCAAAAAATACACGCCTTCTCAGCATAAAGATTTTAAAGACGTCACTCAAGCACAAAAAGTAGGAAATTTTATGTATGAGTCAATCGTGTCAACATTTATACAAGATATTTTATGCGCATAACATGGCCGGATTTAGACAATGAGAAACCGGGCTATGCCTTTTTGTGGGCCCTCTTCGACAATGAAGAATGCATATGACGTCAGAATAAGCCATGTTGTAATGTATTATGATGCCATAAATAAGTTTAAAAATTGTATACATTATAAAATTTCAGTTACGAGCAAGATACGTACGCTAAATCCCCAAGTAGATTTGATAATAAGTTGATTCGAAAATACTGAGAAACTCAATGCATCAATAAAACGTGACAGCATTAAAAAACTCGACATCATAATCCCCGTATCTAGTCACGAGAGGCGGGGGCGGGAGGTCTTGTGTTGAGTACTAACAAATACAATTATCTTGGAAATAAGCTGATTTACGATAAAAAAAATAACCGGAATGGTAAAAAATATATTAATTCCTATGCATAAAAAAGTATTAATTAGAATAGCTATATATATTGATATGTCGTGATCATTTTCAAAAACCAAAAGGATTATTTCAGTTCGATTAGGCTCAAATAACATAATTTTTTTTTTAAATTTAAATGAGTTTTTAAAATTCAGGCAAAATCATTTATGTAATTTGTTTACTTTTTTTGAACTGTAAACAAATGGTGAGAATAAGCAATAAATGTAGGGATGGATTATGGAAAATTGGGGGTTTGTGTACAATGTTCTCTCGCTAAAGATATCAATCTGTACACGTATCTTTTTCACAGTTGGCTTTGACAATTTTTCCAGGTTATGCAAGAAGTAACACAGTCAGTCAATGAAAGCGAACGACGACAGATTATGGTTCAAGCCATCAAAGATATGGAGAATATGTGCGACTCCTGGGAGCAGTCGGGGGTGGGTTAGAACTCTACTTTATGTTACTATTTCGAGGTTCGAAATGAAATGTATTTTAGAATGGTTGTTAGCTTAATCGAAAAATTACCTATTGTTGTCATAATACATCGTTTGACATAATATAATTGGATGCTGCTAACCTGACATTAATTCCAATCACCTTCAATACACTTCGCGTTTGATTTGAGACTTGCGGTGTTAGAAAAAAATGGTACTCCCGTAGTATGTGTGCCATGTTAGAGTGTGTACCGGTGTTAGGCCATAATTTTATTTTTATTTTAGTTCTGTTACGATTTCGAGACTGTCTTTGTTAGCCAAGTGAATACATCCCCTGCCCATAGGATTCAGTCCCTTTATACAACTTGATGTAAAGTAGACGAACAAAATTAGTTACCTCCATATTGGTACACATACTTTTGGAGCGCCGAAAAAACATCATTAAAACGGAGGCAATGCCGTTCTATTATTATGCTTCTTTTTCTAAATAACATCAACACGTTATATTACATTTCAGTTCGTTTCAAAACAAGGATTCATGACAAAGCGAGGCGGATCAGTAAAGTCCTGGTATATCCGATGGTTTCTTCTCAGAGGTTACAAGTTAGCCTACTACAACGAACCCACAGATCTTCATCCAATTGGAGTTCTTGATTTGACTTCGTACAAGTCTCTTGAACCTGATGCGTCCCATGTTGGAAGACCGTATGCTTTTGGGTAAGTGAGTTCTGCAATCTATTTTAATAGGCTGTTTGCTATACTTATAATACGTCACGAGAGAGTCATTCGCAAACCCAGAAAATTTAAACTGGAACTGACTTTGGAAAAAGTGCTTATTAACATGAACATTATTGAAACTGGCAATAAATCTGTGGTGTTCCCAAAGTATTCGTACCAAGATGGCGCACAACCTGAACAAAGTATGTGTACAAGGTTAGGGTTGTTCAGGTTGTGCGTCAACTTGGTACGAATACCTCCCGAGCGCCGAATTTGTTTTGTCTACGAGCAGAAATATTTAGGATCAGTTACTTATTGTAATTGATTTGATTGTATATTTATTTATTTGTAAATATTGTATAATATGTTAGTATAGGATTTTTAATTCGAATTGATCAATGGCGCGAAAGACCACTTAAGTTATAAGTGCCATAAAACATATAGCAACGTAATTCACAATGTCATATTGATGTTGATTTCGGCGTTAAAAAACAGCTTCAATAGTTTTTGGCATTTTATTAGACTGAAACACCATAATATGAAATTTGGTGAAATACTTCATTATTCTGCCAATGAATCCGAACGTGAATATATTACCATATGAGTCCCACACGGATCGGCGTTCGGACCTGGTTTGTTCCTGATGTATAACATATGAATGATGTCGTAAATTCTACCTTAGCATATGTCAAACTTCATTTGCTGGTATATTCAATCAGTCATAGAAGCTAGTCTGATTGAATATACTCAATCTGAAACAGGCACACAATAATAGCGTATGCTAAACAAGAGAGCTATGCTCAAATATATGGACACGTAGCGCCACCCAATGGCGATAATTTTGATGACGTCATAGCGAAAAAAAAAGTAATAGCCTTCTGGAGAAAAATTTTATCTTTAACCACTGAAAATTTCAAAGCAATTGGTCCAGTATTCGAAGAGAAAAACGACTTTTTAAAAACGTGTCAAAGAACAAGAACAACAACAACAACAACATAATATTGAAACGATCGTTATGTCCACTACGTGTCCAATAAATTATGGAGTCATAATAAAAACATTATCACGTCACTAATAGTCATAAATGTATTGTAATCATAGCGTGATGTGATTCATCTGTTTATTTCTATGTCAGTTCAGTTATGGCTGTTTCGCATTTCTTAGTCCACGTTTCAAACGAAAATTGTTCATTGGTCTACTTTGTTTTCAAATATGACGAACAATTTAATAAACAATACTATATAAACGTGTGATTGTATCGTTATTTGCGTTGTGTAATACCCGCTGCATGCGTCGTGTCAATTTGCTTCAAACCACGATGTACCATTCACAGTAAAATTAAGTAAAGTGCAAGCTAACTAACTATATCATACATTGGAAACATAAGTCAATAGTATATACGGAAGGATTTTTTGTTCCAAGAATATTTTCTCAAAACAAGAACTCAGAAATTAAAGATAATTATTGTTGAGCAATCGTTTTCATACATACGTTACTAATTGGCTATACCTTGGTAACGCACAACAGAGCGATTACATGCGATAATATATACTCAATACTGACTTGAAGTCAACACAATAGAAAGACTTTTTCGCGACTATTTTATCGCATCATGCGTTTAATTAACCATTTTCTTAGACTTGAATATTTTATCCAGAACATATCACTGGATTCTATATACCTACAGGCACCATGCCATAATTCGGTCTCGAAATACGACTTTTCCCACCGGTGGTAGGTCACGTGACGAAGGTGGTAGGTCACGAAGTACATCCACCTGGGACGTTTACTGATACTGTGTAACGCAATTTTTGCTCCTTGCTTATGATTATCATTTTCTAAATTCTACGAAAACAACATTTTGGAACCCCCCTCCCCCATTTTCCTAAAACCAAATTTTAAAAAGAAATAATGAAACTTTTTACAGCAATTTTTAAAATCTAATTTTGGGAAATCTGGTCTGAATTTTTATTACAGTTTTATCTACGCTCGCATTCGTCCTGTTGATCAGGGTAAGAATTGCGCTATTTGAGCCGTCTATTCCCTTTCCTCTCTATAGCAGGGCTACTTACCGTAACTATTTTTACCGAAGATCCGCATACAAAACTTCAAAATTATTTGGGTCCGGTCTTTCCAAAAATTATATTTCGGCATCCTTAAACGCGTAATTCCTCGGCAGGCTATTGATTATTATCTAATCAAGATTATTTATTATGGCGTTATAGTTCTTTTCATTTATATTCAAAACTATAAAAGTCATTTAATAAAAGGAAATTTCGAAAGTGGGGCTAATGATCCAAAATAAAGAACTAGGTGCGGTCCGAATCGAATACTCGGAAAGGTCCGGATTCGGACCGCGGTCCGCCAGTTGAGTAGCCCTGCTTTATAGAATTATTATAAAAATCTCATCTTAATTCTATTCTACATTTTCCATAGAATCAAAATGCCTGAACGCACGTACTATATGTACACAACATCTGAGGAAGAACGGCAGGAATGGATTAACATATTGCAGTGGAAATTCGAAGGCATTGAAAGGTGAGAGTGTGCTTTGGATACTCCTGAAGTATGCGCACCAAGATGTCGTACAACCTGAACCCTTACCTGTTACACAATCTGATTTCAGGTTGTGCGCCATCTTGGTGCGCATACATCAGGAGGTCCGTGCTTTGCATTGGGTCATAGATTTGTCGATTTTTTTTTATTTGTTCAATGCAGACACGGCTCTGTTCCAAAAGCGGTACTCCCGTAGTATATGTACCAGGGTAAATACCCTCATACATTTTATTTTACTGAGTCTTAAGATTACGTCACTTCATGAGCAATGTTCCCTCTAATTTTTTGTAGTATAGTTTTGTAGTAATTTTGGTGTGTGTGCACTTTTTTGAAAATGACTAATATTTGTGCAAAAACCAATGAAGAAATTTTGGCGTTCTAACCGGGTGATAAGTGGGCCAACAACAAACTTTCTCAATCTGCCAACCGAGCACATTGTTACATTACATCGAAATACGTCTGTGCGCAGTAAATCTATGCGTGTGCGCAGCCTCCGCGCACACCTTGGAGGGAACACTGTTCATGAGTGATATTTAGTCCGTGAGTCATTACGGTATATCAGCAAGCTTTTATTACCCCTTTCTTACATTCCCCTTTCCTCAGTTTAGTAACTTCATTATAATATACCTTCAAATTGGGGAAAGGCCATAATTTTATTCCGATTTACCCTAAGCCTTCCTGTTGAACTGAGAATACTTTAGTTCTATTACGAGTCCGGGGACTTTCTGTGTCAGCCAAGTGAATATACCCCCTGTCCATAGGTTTCAGTTCTTTTACACAACTTGATGTAAAATATGCGAATAAAATTAGTTACCTCCATTCTGGTACATACACTTCTGAAGCGCCCCAAAAGCCGTATGTAGCTACTATCTTTGGGAGGATCCCGAACATATAATGGATGTGTTGATGAGGTGGTAGAATCCGAGCAGTCTCACCTGGAATCCCAATTTAGTTAGGTCCAAATTTTCATGCTGTTAGTTCACAGACTATAGAAAATACATTCGCTTTACTAATTGTTATTTGTAGTTTATTGTTAGCTAGTTATTCGTACGTGGGCGCGAGACTTGACAAATTACAAACAGGGGGTGCGACTTAAAAAGTTTGAGAACCACTGCGTCAGGATGAGAATATTCCGGTCAATTGAAACTAAGCCGTTTCAAACCAATAAGATCACGGTGGTAAACTTTCTTCTTATTTCTGTAAACAGGAGTCGAAGACAAGCTCATCGTCCATTTGAAACCGTTGTATTTTCATCGCTCTCTTCTTTCCTACATCCAAAAAGTCAGCGAGTTGATTCGTCCGACGACCAACTGGACGAGCCTGAAGATCCCAATTGTGAGGTCATAAACGTCGGTCCAACAATACTTTCACCTAAAAAAAGCGACGAAGACCAGGTTTTTGATGACAGTGATTCGAGCACTACTGACTCGCAATCTAAAAAAGCTCCAAGGCACAAATCGCTATCCACGAGTCTTAACACTTCGCCTATTGACAAAAAGATCACTAAAAAGGCGCGTAGAAAAACTGTCACAAACACGATCGAAAAATCGCCTTCCAGGGCGAGACGGATCAGTAACTTTTTTCCGTCAACAAAAAAGAGCAACAAGAAGCGAGTCGGCAGCTCTTGATTTTATAAATTTTTGTTTCATTGCTATGAATGACATAAAGAACGCGAAATATTTATTTCCGATACCCCCCTACTGCCCCATTCAAAGGCGAATTAGCTGGCGATATTTTGGACCAAATCCTGGCGTGCTCGCTATTGTCACAGATATGGTTTTGCCATTGTGATAGTTAGATCATAATACTCAAAATTCCGGATTGGTTATTTATTTATACGACATCTCTACACTTGACAGCAATGAATACTAAAAACAGCAGACACAACCAAAAGGCAGCCAACCCCCAACCCATCGACCGTAGAAGAAATCATGAGATATAGTTTTTCTCGCACTTGGTCGTCGAAGTCTTATAATGCAAAACAGCAATGCATAAGAACTAAGCATATAAATATGCAAAATATTTACACAACACTTTCTGCCATGTGAAGGTTAGTGTTCCAATCGACTGCATTCCGAGTTTGATCTTTTCCGTAACTGTCTCGAAGCGATCTTGGGTGCGTTTCTCGTGCTTTGAAAAGATTCGCAAATCCGATGAGGTTGTTCCAGCTTTCAATAGCGTCCTCTTTCGACGAAACCATCACAATAATAGGAGCACTGCTCATGTACGACCCTAAACTCGGAAAAATTTTTTTTCGTAATGGTCGACGTAAAAATCGCTCGCTTGCTCAGGAGATAAAGGAACTAAACACGGAATCTGTGGTACGTGACATTTACAACACCAACAGTGGTTGCCCTATATTTCACTGCCTTTTCTCTCTCGTGGATAACTATTTATAATCATCTCATATGGAACAAGAGAGCTACGCTGGATATATGGACACGTAGCGCCACCTAGTGGCAAATTCGAATGACGTCATAGCACACACAGGAAACGAATTTCATACAGCTCACCGGAATATTTGAAACAAATAAAAGTAATAGCTTTTTAGCGAAAAATTTGATAAGCATTGAAATTTTAAAGAGATTGGTCCAGTAATCAAAGAGAAAAGCGACTTTTTAGAAACGTGTCAAAGAATAAGAAGTAGAGTTCCAGCATAAAATGCAAAACGATCGTTATGTCCACTTACATGACCAATAAACATCAAACTTAATTAATATCAAGACCGGAGTATGGTGTATTATCCTATTCCATGTCTTTTCACAAAGCATTGTATATATGCAGTAATGTATAAAGTTGTATATATTTAACGATTTATTCTGATTGTATCACTTTGTTCACATTTTCTGTAGAATATACTATGATATGCATTTATCTTAATGTCTATAAAAATATCAGAAAATGTTCCTAATTTGAAAGAAAAGTGTTCTTGACAGTCTTGACAGGAGATATTGCTGTTTGTTTGTGGGTACACACACAACTTTTTAGGATGCTTCAGGATAAACGCATATTCTAGGAAAATGTGTAGGGTGTCCCCTAAACTTTGCGTGCCGAGACTACACTTTCTTTTAATTGTCCGCTTAGAAGTCTCTAATAAAATGTGCAAGATCCTTGTTGTATGTTGTATTAAAATCCAGTAGCAATAAAACAGTATAAAATAGATGAAACAAGAAAAGAACTTAACTTGATTGAGTAAAATGCTGGAAGCGGCTGAGTTGCGTGAGAGTTGAGCGTTGGAAGTCGAGTGTCGTCATCGAATGTCGCCGAAAAGGAGTTGTCAAATTTGGTATTCAAAACAGAAACCAAAACGTGGCAGCGCGTCACGGGTCAGTTGACCAGGGCTCAGGTGTCGCTATAAATGTTCCACATTCGGGCATTCTGTTTGGCATTGTGAAGACCTGTATTCTGTAATTCTTAAGAATCAAGCCTTGATTTATGGCATCGCTGCTTTGAGTAAAACTTATTTAACGCTTCCCGGTAATTCAATTGCTTCCGATTTTAGAAGCTGCTTTCGTACGCAACAAAGACACAAATGTAAAAGCTATCGAAGGGTAAGTTAGATACTGGCTGGCCATTCCACTGATTCCTACTCTATTTTTATTTAAAAAATAGGGTAGCGAAAATATATGTCAGTGCCAAGTGAGTCGTGATGAAGGGATGAAGCAGCTGAACCAAAGGGAATAGATTGTTGACCGTGTCAAACGACCATTGACTATTCTTTTATCTGACCCTGACATGGACAAACTACGACCCGCGGGATAATTCCGGCCCGTTGGGTCATTCAATCTGGCTTGTCTGATACTGCCACAACCAAACTAAAACCAAATTTTGATGTTTCACCTAAACGATAGCTCAGGGAATTTGTTAAGATTGCGATTAAATTTAGTTTTGGCACGAGGCTAATTGTTTTCCACTTATATATTATTCGTATTATTTATAACTTTTTACGCCACACTTACAAGGCTGTCAGTCTAGGCTAGGTGGACAAAATTTATTGCCCCTGGTTCAAAAACCATGCCCACCCATGAATTCTAGCCTGTACTGGTATTCCGCTCGATAACATATTTATACACCGTATAAATTAAGTGCTCTGCTCCGTTTTCTTGTGAAGCATTGCTGAATTTACAAGAATATTTGAGCACTCGTGTTTGCGTATTAAGAAACCTGGTAACACCTCGTTCACCCAACAAACTCTAATAAAAATCACATTTCTTCTCTACAAGTGTATTTATTTGAGGCATATAAAGTCACTCAGAAAGTAGATTGAAAAAACATTCTAGCAACTGAGCATTTCTTGTTCACACGCTGAAGGAATTGCAAAGCTCAGATGCCCGCCCTCAGTCAATTTATTATATGATTATAAACAATGCCGCCAATCCAACTTTAAAACCAATCTTTACAATTACAAAATGTGCCAAACTTCATGATGGCATATTACAAAATGTGATTTTATACTTTAAAATGTGTCAGCATAATATGACGTCATCGTCTAAAATGTGTCATCATATTATGACGTCATAGTCCAAAATGTGATACCATAAAACCGTTTCATGGTGCAAAGAGAATCATAGTCCAATGCATCTCTGTATAAGCTCGTACTTTTAGGGTAACGGCAGACCAAAGTTTAGTTCTCTGGGGCGTCACTATCTCCTTCTGATGGTGGGGCCATTGGTGGGGGAGGTGGAACAGGTTTTGGGGGGCCCGAACCCATTGGGGGTGGCCCCCATCCTCCCATACCAGGGGGTGGACGACCCATCATATTATATGGAGGTGGGGCTCCATGTGGCATATTGCCTGGTGGTGGTGGCATGTTACCGCTGCCATGAGGCGGGCCTGGTGGTGCCACGCCAGGTGGTAAATCAGAGTTCAATAATGGTGGAGGCATTTGATACTCTTCATCTCTGTCATCTCCCCCTGGTCTTTCAAATTTGTAATGGAATTGCAGGAAAAACTGAAAGACAATGAAATGTGTTAAAACAGAGTTTTGAATGGGTTTGAATATATGAAGAGGTGATGTGGTGAATTCAATTAGGGGTGTAAAGTCGGGGAAAATATACAATCAAACCGAGTCTAACTAGGGTTCTAAAACAAATCGACTCTGTGAGGCTCAAGAACAACCGTTCTCAAACTTTTTTGCCCCGGTACACCTACGCTTATTATCTCGCCTCGTGGAACACCAAGAAATTAGAAGGTAAAATTGATAAGTGGTTTCGAAGACTGGCACAAGGCCTGTCCACTTGTTTAGATAGCAAGCTCTTTTCGCACGTTTGTCGCCAGTCAGGAGACATATTTACGGCACCTAAGTATAAGTATTCGCCTAAGTATAGACCAATTTAGGAGCAATTTCGATCTGTGTTCTGCGGAACAAAGTTTGAGAAACGCTGCTTCGGACTATAAAGTATGTTAAGTAAATCTTGAACCTAAAGTTGTATGAAGTTTTGACTTCTTTATCACCATTTGAAGGTATGAAACACAAAAAGCCTAGTTGGAAGTTCAAGTAAAATCACCTGTTTTGTTTCTTTATTCCAGTGAGTCCAAAATTTCGATTCACTCTTATCAATTTCTCTGCTTGGCACCTGTGAAAAGACAATTTATTGTAATCGCAAACTAGGGCAAACCGGTTTAGACCAATCCAGACTGGTTATGGAAACAGATTGGTAATAATTTGTAACAGGACAAGACATTAGTTCGTCATAGATTAAGTAGTCTTAACGTCTATTTATACACCGAGATAAAATGTAAATCCTTTTCTATCCAAAATGAAACACTTTTTATTCCCCTCACCTTGAAGGCGATTGTTTCGTAAGGTTCCGCAGCGAACAGTAAATATTGCCATTTTCTATCCGGTGGTTCTACCCTCTGTTCATATGCTGACATGAACCTGTAAACAAAAAAAGAATATTTATTCAAAAATCAAAAGAACTCTTGTTTTTTATTGCTTGCAATGGTATTTATTGCGTGATTCATATGCATTGGGATGGTGAATGAGGCCTTCTTTTAAAGGTTTACTGCAGGTCAATTGGCAATTTATTTTTATTTATTTAATATTTTTTAATAAAATTTACAAATATGGAATAGCAAATATATTCTAAAATTGGGTTATGTTAAAAAAAGCACAGAGAGGCAAATGGCTATGCGAGTTCAATAATTTTGTATTTGGAAAAGAATGTTTAAGAGTCTACATTTTAAGTTTTCAGAAAGTAAATAAAGACTTTTGGTCACTTCAATTTCTCAAAAAAAAAGGATTCAAAATACCTTATAAAACTAACAATAAATTGATTTGAATATATGACAACTTCCAAACTATGAATTGGTAAAAGACTACATAGAATATTCATAGTCAAAATGCAAGAGGACAATGCTCAAATATCAGCATGTATCAGCTGCAAACCGTTAGCAGTGTGGACTGTGAGTTAACTGTTTGATGGAATATGCAAAAGAGCAAACCCAATTGAATAAAAAGCACATCCCTTTATTTAAATGAAACAGCAAAATTCAGGGAAAATATCACTTCCCATATTATGATAATACCCTCCTAGTTACTTATTCCACCTTTGAGTGCTGAGAATTTTAAAACAATTACCGGTAATCCTTTAAATTGATAAAAGGCAATTTTTAAATCTCGAATTATCAAGGATTTGTAACAACGACACATAGACCCACTTCATTTACAACCGAGGGGGGTAGCCAGAAATTTTCAAAGGGGGGTTCTGAAATTTCCATTTACCAAGTTAGATCGAAATAGCTAGCGGGTCTGATCGAACGCTGGAATATGCGTGTTTTAGTAGTCTTGGGGTCTGAAAAGCATTTTATGATAAAATAGTTGCTATCTATGATACAGAAAAATGATATTTTTTTTTAC